ACTAAAGCAAAAGAAATAAAAATAAACATCAAAGCAAAAAATCCTTATAGAAGGTTTATGAACATGATAAACAGATAAGAAATATGCTAGAAACAAAAATGTGAATAGCAAAAAGTAGCACAATAAATAAACAGAAGTTATTATACTTGAACCAACTTATAGATATGAAAGATGATAACCTAATCACATAAAGACAGCTCAAGAGTTTTCAAGGCTTGTCATGTAAGGGAAAGAAAGCTAAGTAATTTAGTGAAATAAAAAAAAAATATTAAAAACACAAGCAAGAAGAGAAATACAAAACCAATACAAAATAAGAAGATACAATATACAAGCATTAAAGATCAAGTGAACAAAGATGTCTGAAGACTGAAAGAAAAAAGAATGAATTATTTACAGACCAAAATACAACCAACAAGTAGGCAAAATAATTAAGAAAAAAAAAAAAAAGTGTTAGCAAAGCATTGGTCAATGCATATAGAAGAAGAAAAAACATTAACAGAAATAAGTATATGCAAAAGTTGTGAAAACAGTTCAGAATAGACAACAGACAAGTGTGAAAGATGAATAAGATGAGACCACAACATGAAAGTGATACTAGAGTTACTAATAGAAAAAGCTAACAATAGGATAAATGCAACATTAGAGCAGATACTAAAAAATAAAATAATAGAAGAATAGAAAAGAGATGAATTAAAGTTATTAGAAATAAGACAAACAAAAGAATTAGAAATAGAACTGATTAGAAAACAAGAATTAAATAGTACAATTACAAATTAGTTAGTAGAAATACTGATACAAAACAAGAAAAGAAACAAAAAAAATATAGATTCTATACTGATGAAGCATTATACAAAAAGAAAACAATACAGAAAGAATAAGTATCAGTTAGGTACAAGTAGAAAAAGAAGAAGGTTAGCCAAAGAAAGAAACTGCATTAGGACTTGAAGGCAGGTTTTTAGCAACAATAGCAGAATTGGCAACAATATGAACAGCAATCCTAATAGTACTAGAAGGAAAAAGTATAGAAGTATTTACAGACAGCATCACAGCATTAAGGAACATTAATAGAGTACTTCAAAATGTAGAAAAGGAAAGAATTTTGAAAAAGAAAAACACAATATGGATAATGAATATTATAGGTCTAATCAAGAGCAAGAACATTAGAATAGAAATAATTAAGATTAAAAGTTATAGTGAAAATAAGTAGAATAATAGAGCAGGCTCTCTTGCAAAAAAAAGAGCAAAATGCCAAAATAAAATATATGCAGATAAAGTCAAATATAATAGGATAAAGTACTATTTAGAGTAGAAAAACAAGAAAATTAACATACTAGCAAGACTTTTGTATAAAATAATACCAAATGCCAGAATAGGAGCTAGTTGAAAAGAGACAAATCCAATATGAACATTAGAACCAGAAATAGAAAATATATTATATAATTAGTTAAGCTTTTGGAAAGAAATGAACAAAACAAAAAGAGTTCATTATACATTAAGAAAACTTAGCACAAGAAGAGCTACAGCAATCAAGTGCATAATAAATAGCCTACTAATGCTTAAAGAGCTAAACAGAAAAAGATCAGAAGTATATACAACAGTAAAGTGTCAAATATGCCAAGCTAAAGAAAAAGAGACTCAGGCATATTTAGCAAGTTGTAGTAAACAAAGGAGTTTGTGAAAGTGAATTCAAAAAGTTGCAACAGCAATAGCATGAAATGGATTTAAGGAAAAGGAAAAAAACAGAATTCTATCACAAGTTCTTTATAAGGCATTGTTTGAAGAAACAGAAGCTGAAGAAATTACAAACAGAAAAATGCTAATAAAGAGACTTACAATGCTAAAAGTAGAAAAAAGGTTGAAGTAACTTCTAAGCAAGCAAGAAACACAGAAGTGCATAGATATAGTCACAAGAACAGTATAGAACACCTTTTATAACCAAGTATAAAGGGTGCAATGTGAAAACATCCAAGTCTAAAAGAAGAAGATCAATATAATAAATAAAATAAAAAAAAATGCTTATGCAAGAAAGAAAACAAAAAAGACAATAAAGAAAGATAAACAAGCAAAAAAAAAAAAAAAAAAAAAAGCAGAAAAGGTAAACCAAATGAAGAAATAAGCTTTAAAGACAATAAATATGCTAGTTACAAAAGAGAGAAAACTCTTCTGGTATGGCTTTAAGTAGTTAGACAAGCAGTTTATCCTTAATTAGAATAGTGCAGCAGGTTGCACTTAGATGCCATTAGAGTGACCAAGTGATGCTAAACTTAGATGTTAAAAAATTCGATATAATTGTATAGGTATATAGTTTCAAGAATCTTAATAAGTACTAGCATAACTGCTTAAGGTTTAAAAAAAAAAAAATTAGTTAAAATAAGATGTTTATATTAGTATAACTAACAGGTTATAGATTTTTTTTAAAAATATTAAGGTAAATACTTGTGATCTAGAATTTTATTAATAGTATATTTAGCTAATAATTGTTATTTATATAACTTTAGTTATTGTTTAAATAGTCTGTTTAAAAGTTCTTCATTAGCTGTTATATCTAAAATCTGCTTGTAAGTTTTTTATTTAAACATTTTAGTTTCTATATCTATTCATTTACTTATACCTATCAATAATTTTAGTTGATATCAATAAAAATATATTATAGTTATTAAGTCTTTAAAACAGTTTACTCAACACTTGCAATTAGAACTTATCATTAAACTACTATATTCTTGTAAAGTTTATTTCAAACTTAATACTTATTTTACAATATATTATTATTACTTTAATATTTAATTTAAGTTTTACTAAGCTCCTATTCTAAATAGGCTGAAAAGATAAATACAATATACTTTTGGTTTATATATTATCTAAGATATAATCTTTTCTTTTAGAAAATTTTAGTAGCCTAACTAGTTACAATAGTTCTTTTTCAAAAATTAATATATCATCTAGTTTTACAAATTCTAGCTTTATTTTTTAGATTTAGTTTTATAATAATACTGTTGAAAGTTTAGATTATCTTTTTACTTGAATTTTCTAAATAGGTTGTTATTTTTCTAATTTTTATAATTTATATAACTATGAAGATTTATCACAAATTTATACTATCTAGTATTAGTTTGTATTTTTTTATACAAAATACAACTATTGTACAAATGTTATATGATCTTTTAGTCATATTGATATAATATAGTTAATAGATATCTAATTACAACTAATTGTAAAAGACAATTAATTATAATATAAAAGAGTTTTAAATTTTTCTTGATACTAGAATTTGAACTTTAGATTTATTATTTAAAGGTTAATAATATAACTATTTTACTATATTAGACTTTTTTTATTTTTTGATATTAAGATAAGCTTTTGTATTTTTCTTAGTAATTTAAAAGTTAATAACTATATAAAGCTGCTATATACAAAAAGTAATGTTCTATATTATTTTATTTATTTATTTTTTTGGTATTAAGGTGAAGCCTTGCTTATATCTTTATTAATAATTTAAAATAGTTACATGTATATATGCTATAACTAAAGTCAATACTTGCAGTTAGAGCTAACCATTAAACTGCTAACTATACAGCTACTACTATTTGTACAAAACAAATAAATTAAAAATTACATGCAAAAATAAAAGTTTAGACTAATTTATTTGCAATTTAAACCTACTAAAGTGGTCAAAACTTACTTAGATTTGAATGTTTAGTATATAATTTGATAATATGCTATATTTGATCTATAGAATAAACTAAATGTTAATTTTGTAAATTGCTTGCCAATAAAGAACATATATTAGAGTGAGTATGTAGTTAATCTGAAAGTTCATAGAGGCATAAGTAAGTATAGTTTTTATAAAAACATATATGTCTAGTTGCTGAATTAGATTATATTGAGGATTTGTTAATTGGTTAAGATTGAGGTTTATTTTGTTGTTTTTTCTAATTAGAGAAATGAATACAATATGTTCTATATTATTTTACTATATTACTATACATCTAAATTATATAAATTTTTTTTTTTTAATATTAAGGTAAGTACTTGTGATCTAGGATTTTATTAGTATAGTGCTGGAAGCCTTAACTCGCCAGTTACATGACCTTGTTTCAAATTCGTATATGCAGTGTAACATACAAATAGCCAATCATATTGCAGCATTCGATTGGTTCCGATTGGATGCTATATATACTTCTTCTAATTGGATATTATTTTTAGTCTATTAAAATTATCCAAATTACGAATTTACTAATTTACCTTACCACTTCTCATTGGCTATGCTAATTATTCACTTAGCAGAGTATTTATTTTATTAATCAATTTTTTTCTACTCCGATAGTAAAGTAGGGCACCTGAAAATTACAACTTAACCAAAAACATTTTTTTGCGAAGTTTCATTTTCCAACTATATAAATACAGAAATACAACCATAAGTAATTGACAATATTATGCTCTTTCGATATTCGCACTAGTTTTAGTTTTAAAATATAATCAATATGTAGATCAAATATAAACCAGTAATAAATTTGTAAAACCAGCACATAAAGTACGTAAGTACATATATACGTACCAGGTACGTTTTTTTGGTGCTATAAGTATTCAGTAAATTGATCATAGCCATATAGTACTCACATCAACTTTATGTATGTATGCATGTATGCACATACGTATATGAGTTAATTCTGTCTTGTCAATAGTGCTTCTATCGATATAATTCACAATTTTTTTGGTTATGATCATTTATGTTCAAATTTTTTTTTTTAATTAATTTATATCATATAAAAAAATACAATGATTTAAAAAAAAAAAACTTTCTTGGCATAATTACTATATGGGATAGTTAAATATGTGCTGAGGCTTTCATTGCAGAACCAAAGTGCAATTAGTGATTAATGATAAAAAGGGTCTTTGACATTGCAAATAGAATAACGACAAAGAACTGAAAGCACTTCGGGCCACTGTTCATTTATAAAAAAATATAACTGATTGGTGAATGTTCTTCTTTGTCTGTTTTCATGGCACCCCGAACAAAAAGGCAAAAGCAAATAAGTAATTTGCCAAGAGAGAAAGGCTACTATCTTAACCAAAAGAACCAAATTTTCATGAAGTCACTAAATATAACCACAATTGAATCGCAAGAAGAATGGACAGAAAATGAACTAGTAGAATTCGAGGGAGTAGGAACAAGACTTATCAATGAAATTCTCAGATGGCATAAGGATGCTGCAAAACACCTTAGAACAGTATATACTGGGACCTCAAGAACGACAACGTGGAGACAAAAAAAAAAGAATGAATGATGAAGAGAACACAAAAGAAATCAAAAAACTTGAGACATTTTTTCAACTGAGTTCATTAACAACTTTCTGTCAAGAATCTTACACTTCAGCATCCTTATCATTATGCCCCTCTCCAATTATTATACCAGATTCATCTTTGTTATCGACTGAAAATTTACGTATCTGTTTGGAAGAACTTAACCAACGATGATTAATAAAAAAATCTGTGAAGGAGAACAGTAAAATCTTTACATATGATTATTTACATTTTCTAAGTATACGTCAATATATACAATTATTGTTAGAAGAACAAGGTAAAATGGATGCTGCTGACCAAATTGCATGTTTTATATAGAATAAAGGGGGTTATATGGCTAAATGCATTCGGATATAGGAAAATTATTTCATAAAGACAGAAGAGCTTCTTCCTTACTGCCAAGGTAAACATACCAAACTCGAAAGCTTAATTGATGCCAAGGATTTTAGTAAAGATTGTATAGAGTAGTTAAGGCAACAAAAACTGAAAGTACATATGCCTAGTAATTTGAAAGCATATATTGAGGATACACTATTTCCAAAATTGATTGGTCATATCAAAGAAGACACTATATTAAAGAGGACGTGTAGAAATTATATGTATTTATGGGGTTTTAAATATGATGAGAGAAGAAAGAGTATTTTCTTTGATGGTCATGAGAAACCAGATGTGGTGGCATATAGGAATGAATGGTTAAAGAGAATGTTCGTATATAAAAAAAACATAAAAGATTTTGTTAGTGAGTCATTAGAATTTGTATTAGAACTTCAGCTCAATTTAGGGAAGAAAGAATATGTTCAAATAACACATGATGAGTGTTATTTCTATGCTAACGATGGGCGGCGACGAATTTGGATTCAGAAAGGCAAAAATATTTTGCGCCTAAAACATCTGGGACATTTTATAATGGTCTCTGCTTTTTTGTGCTCTTGCCATGGACTATTACGCCTAACTGACCAACAGCTATATGAAAATCTATATATTAAAAATAAAGAAACATTTGTGATTCATTCTGTTCAGGTAGATGGATATTGGAAGGCAGAGCATATGCTTGAACAGCTTGTAAGTAAAGTAATCCCAGTATTTGAAATATTGCACCCTGGGTGTATCGGTATGTTTTGTTTTGATCAATCTACTAATCATAATGCTATGGCAGAGGATGCACTAATCGCAAAAAGGATGAACTTGAGTTCTGGAGGGAAACAACCAGTAATGCGAAATGGTTGGTTTATTGATAAAACCAGAAAAAAATATGTGCAATCGATGGTATTTTCGAATGATTATCAAAAGGAGGAGTTAAGAGGCAAGCAAAAAGGTTTGAGGCAAATGCTTGAAGAGTGAAAACTCTGGCCTGCAGAAAAGGTTCTGCTAGTATGTGAAAAATGTTCTGGAAAATGTACTGATAATGGTCCAGAAAAGTTGGATTGCTGCGCACAAAGAATCATGTCATTGCAGCCCGATTTTCTTGAACAACGGTCCCTGTTAGAAGAAGCTGTAATTAATGCAAGGCACATTTTTGAATGCTATCCAAAGTTTCATTGCGAGTGTAACTTTATCAAACGATATTGGGGTTTTACGAAACAAGAAGCAAGAAGATTATGTAATTATAATTATAAGGATTTAGTAAATTTTGTTCCGGAAGTTCTTAAGAGTGTTGCTGTAACCACTATTCGCAAATTTTCCTATAAATCATGGAGATATATGGATGCATATGATAAAGGGCTAAAAGGTGTAGCTGCTGAGTAGGCTGTTAATCAGTATAAATCACATTGTTGAATCCCAGAGATATTGAGCAAATGATGGAATAAATGAATAAAGGCATAATCATAATAATAATAAATTTTAACCTTTATTATAAGTAATTACTATGTTTATGGTTTTATTATTTAATTTCGCTATGACAATATTTTTATTAACTAAACACACTTTACATAAAAATTTATTCAGGCAAGTAAGTTTTATCATTACAACCAATTCTGTAAACCTCAAATTAAAATTAAAATTTATTCTTTTTATATTATCCCAATACGTATTTATAATTTATAATTAATAGTTTACAGTATCCTAAATAGGTCAGTATAGATGATTTGATTAGACTACGTATCAAATTTTTTGGGATTTAATGTTTATAATGGATACCCAAACTTGAAGTGCAAAAATTAATTGGGCGAATCTATTGTTTTATGACAGATAACTAAACTGGAACTGGAAATACAAGATTAACTGATGATTATACTTTTTTTGTGTGTAAGTTTAATTAGTTCAACTGTGTATTCTTTGCAGAATCAATCTAACATTTTGTATGATTTAAAAATAGTCATATAGAAATTCATGGTTTTATAATGATTTGCATTAAAAATAAACTGCATATCATCGCTGCTTTTTTGGTGCAAATATTGTTAGATATAAAATTAGAAGGTGTATATATATAATGAAATTTCGTATTTTTGTTAGGACACAAAAGGCAATCTTATAGGCAAACTTTCGAGTTATAGACGATTTTAAAAAAAATTATTCTATATTAACCTGATCTGTGATTTAATTGTTAAAAATTACAGAATTATAAATTTTTATGTAATATGGAGTCAAATTTGCGAAGCTTTATAATATGATTGGTTAAAATAAATCATGTGATCAAATACTGTGATTTTATTGGTTAAATTCATGTTTATTATATGTTTCAATTTAGTTAAAACATAATCAAATACTTTAATTTTAAATGCTTATAACTTTTTATATAAGGCTTATTTAAAAAAACTAACCAGTAATTTGATAGAGAATATTATAAAAAACAAAGTTACCAGTTTAGTTTTTTAAAATTTTATTTGTATAAAGTATTAATAGATTTTAAAATATATATAATTTACTGGCAAGTTAAGGCTTCCAGCACCATAGTAAAGAAAAGCAATAACAGGATTAATGCAATAATAAAACAAATATTAGAAAATAGAATAATAAAGAAGTAGAGAAAAGAGAAAAGAAGATTAATTAAGCTAAGACAAGTAGAAAAATTAAAAATAGAACTAATCAAAAAACAAAAATTTGATAATGGAATTATAGCTTATCTAATAGAAGCCCTTATAAGAAACAAAACAAAAAACAAAGACAATTATTCCTTTTATACAGATAGTGCATTATATTAAGAAGGAAAAAAAAATGGCATAAGAAAAATCAATATTAGCTGAGTGCAAGTTAAAAAAAAGAAAAATTATGCAGATGAAAAAACAGCATTAAGACTTAAGAGTTGACCTTAAGCACTAACAGCTGAACTAGTAGTAATATAGTTAGCAATTTTAATAGTACTAGAAAAAAAAAAAAAAAGTATATACAGACAGTCTTGCAGTACTAAGAAACATTAGCAGAGCAATGCAAAATGCAAAAGATGTTAAAGTACTAAAAAAGAAAAATGCAATGAGTTAATAAAATTGTAGATCTAGTTAAAAGCAAAAACAATAGAATAGAAATAGTTAAAGTTAAAAGTCACAGTAATGATAGGTAAAATGACAAATCAGATTTACTCACAAAAAAAGAAGCAATATGTAAAAAAGCAATATTTACAGAGAAGGTCAAGTGTGAAGGAATAGAGTACTACTTAGAATAGGAAAATAGAAAAATTGATATACCAACAAGACTTTTTTGCAAAATAATTACAAATACTAGAATTGAAGCCATATGAAAAGAAATAAATCCAATCTAAGTATTAAAACCAGAAACAGAAAATATTTAGCATAATTAGTCAAGTTTTTGAAGAGAAATGAACAGAACAAGAGGTATACACTGTATGACAAGAAAGCTTAATACAAGAAGAGTGAGTACATAATAGACAGTCTATCAATGCTAAAAGAGCTAAATAGAAGAAGACTAGAAATTTACATAACAACAAACTGCCAAGTTTGTGTTAAAAGTAAAAGAGAAACATAGGCACATCTAGCAAGCTGCAGTGAACAAAAAAGCTTGTAGAAAAAGATTCAAAAAGTAGCAATAGCAATAGCATAGAATAGTCTCAAAAAAAGTAAAATAAACAGAATTCTGCCTTTAATACTATATAAAGCATTATTTGGAGAAACAGAAACAGAAGAAATCAGTAATAAAAGGATACTAATAAAAGGATTGACTACAATAGAGGTTGGCAAAAAACTCAAGCAGATTCTAAATATACAGGCAACACAGAAATGTATAGATATAATAACAAGAACAGTATAAAATACTTTTTATAACCAAATATGGAGAGTAAGATGCAGAAAAGTGCAGGAATGAGAAAAGAAGAACAATATAACAAATAAAATGGAAAAAAATATGCAAATTAGAAGAAAATTAAAGAAAAAAATAGAGGAAAACAAACTAGTAAAAGAAAAAAAAAAAGAAAAGAAATTAAAAAAGATGAATCAAATAAAGAAAAAAGCTTGAAAAATAATTGATATACTTGCTATAGAAGGGAAAAGACCTTTCTGATATGGCTTTAAGTAATTAGATAAGCAGTCTATTTCTAACTAAAATAGTGTAGCAGATTGCACTTAGATATCATTTGGATAGCCAAGTGATGCTAGACTTAAATATTGAGAAATTCTATGTAATTATAAATATATATAATTTCAAAAATCTTAATAAAGTACTAGTATAACTGCTTAAGTTTAAAAAAAAATATATATATATATATATCAATACTAATCTATATATTTTGGTTTATAATATTTTTTTAAGAAGAATAAAAAAAAATACATCATCTATACTGATAGAGTATTATATAAGAAAGAAAAAGGAAGCAGTATAGAGAAGATAGATATTGGCTAGGTACAAGTAGGAGATAAAGAAGACTGGTCAGAAGAAGAAGCATTATTTAGACTCAAGGAATAGCCTTCAGCAATAATAGTAAAGTTAGCAGCAATATGGTCAGCAATTTTGATGATCCCCAAAAGGAAAAATCTAAAAATATATACAGACAGCATTACAGCATTAAGAAACATTAATAAGGCAATTCAATATGCAAAGGATGGAAGCATTTTAAGAAAAAAAATGCAATGTGGATAATGAATATTGTAGGTCTTATCAAAAGCAAGAAGATAAAGATATAATTGGTTAAAATTAAAAGTCATAGTGAAGACAGATGGAATGACAGAGCAGACTCTCTTGCAAAAAAAAAAGCAACTTGCAAAGAAATATAATGAAATAAAGTACTATTTGGAATAGAAAAACAAGAAAATTGACATACTAGTGAGACTTTTATGTAAAATAATAGCAAATACTAAAATCAGAGCCACTTGAAGAGAAATGAACCTAATAAAAACACTAGAGCCAGAAACAGATAATATGTTACATAATTGGACAAGCTTCTGAAAAGAGATGAACTGAATAAAAAAAGTTTACTATACATCAAGAAAACTCAGCACAAGAAGAACTATAGCAGTTAAGTGCATAATGAACAAACTGCCAATACTTAAAGAGCTAAATAGAAGAAGACTAGAGGTTTATACAACTGCAGAGTGTTAGGTATGCCAAACTGGAGAGAAAGAAACACAAGCACACTTAGCAAGTTGTAATGAACAAAAGAGTTTGTGAAAGCAAATTCAAAAAGTTACAATAGTAACAGTATGGAATAGGCTCAAAGAAAAAAAAAAATAGAATCCCACTACAAGTTTTATATAAAACACTATTTGGGAAATTAAAAGCAGAAAAAATTGCAAACAGAAAAGTATTGATAAGAGAACTGACAAAGATAAAAATAGAAGAGAAACTTAAATGACTTCTAAACAAGTAGGCAATGCAGAAGTGCATAGATATAGTAGCAAGAACAATATGGAATACCTTTTACAATCAAGTATGAAGGGTCCAATATGAAAAAACACAAGATTAGAAAAAGAAGTTCAATATAACAAACAAGATGAAAAAAGAAGCTCACATAAGAGAGAAAACAGATAAAAAAAAAAGAAAGATAATCAAACAAAAGAAGAAGAAAAAGAAAGAAAAGTAGAAAAAGCAAACTAAATAAAGGAAAAAACTTGAAAGACAATCAATATGCTTGTCACAGAAGAGAAGAAGCCCTTCTGGTATGGCTTTAAATAGTTAGACGAGAAGTCTATCTCTAACTGAGATAGTGTGGCAGGTTGTACTTAGGCACCATAAAGGTAGCTGAGTAAGGGTGCATCTATGTACTCACTGCCTGATTTGGAAATTACATTTTTTATCCAATCAGTATTCATTATATCAAATTTATATGAATAATCAGTATGTAATATAAAGTTGATTGTATTTTTAAAAAATTACTTTTAACTTGCAATTTTGCTTATAAAACTAACTTTTGCATTCTAACAAAAAAAGTTCTTTGCAAAATTTTAGTATAGGTTCTTTTTTCATAGCTCTATCCTTATCTTAATATCATTTTAACACTAATTAACAGCATTTTTTTAAAAAAACAATAAATCATATAAACAATGATAATCATTTTTATTTTTGGCAGTAGGTACATAGATGTATCCAGCTGAGTGATGCTAGACTTAGGTATTGGAAAGTTTTATATAATTGTATATTTGTATAGTTTCAAGAATCTTAATAAAGTACTAGCATAACTGCTTAAGATTAAAAAAAAAAAAAAAATTTTTTATATTATTCTCTTTTATTTTTAGATGCTCTTTTTATATAAAATTTATACTTTAGTTTTATATTCAATATATATATCTTATTTTATCTTTTATATTCAACATATATCTATTTTTTTTTTTAAATATTAAGATAATTACTTGTAATCTAAG